GCTAGCGGATCAAATCTCCCTGTCGGAGAGGGACTTGAGTCTTGTACCGCTGAAATTCAGGCCTCCGATGCATTTTTGCTAGATGGAAAGCGTGTAATTCTCTTCGATACACCCGGCTTTGACGATAGCAACCTGGACGATGTCGAGGTCTTACGGAAAGTCACAAGTTACCTCGCCCTTACGTAAGTAGTATATATATATATCTGTCAATAGACACCAATAATTCTCTATAGGTATCAAAAAGGCCGGAAGTTATCCGGTATCCTTTACTTTCACCGCATTTCCGATTACCGTATGGGTGGGATCTCCAAAAAGAATTTCCACATGTTTAGCGAGCTGTGTGGGAGCGAGGTGATGAACAATGTCGTGATAGTAACCAATATGTGGGAAACTGTCAGTCAAGAAATAGGAGAGCGTCGTGAGCGTCAGTTGTCTATAACCGCTGATCATTTTGGCTCTGCAGTTAAGGCAGGAGCAAAGATGGTCAGGCATTACGACAACTACGAGTCTACGAAGAACATTCTACGACTTGTTCTTCCTAATGTTCCCGAGGCGCTTCGCATCCAAAAGGAAATCGCAGATAAGAATCTAGAATTACACCAGACCAGTGCGGGGAAGGTTCTCTACAAGGAGCAAGAGCAGTTAATCAGAAGCCACCAGGAAGAGATCAAACAGTTGAAGCAGCAAATGATCAGGGAAATCGAGGCTCAAAGGAAAAAGTCAGATGCTCGGATCCAAGAACTTCAGGATGATTTGAAGAAGGCACAAACCAGCTTCAATGACTTGAATCGTAGCTGGAAAGAAGAGAGGCCCAAACTCGAAGGGAGGATCAGAGAATTGGAGCAAAATTCGGGCTCAGGTTGGTGCTGATAGGGTAGATGCCAGTGCAATCCTTTTCACTGTCCCAATGTTATTCTGTGTTTTGAAAAACTGCGTTTTTATCTGCATCTTGCCTCTAGACTTTAACTAAGTGTTAGTAAAATCAGAACTGCATGTTGAAGGATCTACGACTGGTATTACGAGCCCTCGAGTAAGGACGCGACATCGCCCTAAAATTAGGTCGAGGAGGAATTTAGGCCTTAAATTCCTCCCCGACATAATAGTACTAGAGATTTGAACTCAATTGATTTAGGCTTG